TTAATTAATTATTTATTTCAAAAAATGTAATTTTATTTTAGTAAAATTTATAGTGATAATCATATTAATTTGGGGTTCGATTTACAATAAAATTACTAATTCATCCCCCAAAATCCTAAAAGCAAATTTTGATACTATCGGGATTTTGAGCATCGGGATTTTAACTATATAAAACAAAATCCTATTAGAAAATCTGCAATTAGTGATGATTACTATTAACCCTGTCTATGTTTGATTTAATAGACCATTACATACCCTAACGCTGCACGTAATAGAATTATGAATTATTATACAAATATTAATGTAGCAAATTTACTTCATATGTGTTATAAATGAGAAACTGTTAAGCCAAGTTTGATATCATTTACTTTAATTGATTAATGCTGAGAGAGAATTTATTTGTGTTATAAGCAGTGTTTAAAATTCAAATTTAAATTAATGTTCTCAAAAGAGCTTAATTTAAATTTTTAATGTTCTCAAAAATTTTTAATGTTCACTATAGTACTTTTAAAAGGTTGTAATAATTATAATAACTCAAATTAAAAACCAATCCCAAAACTTTATGCCTACTCGAGTCAAATTAGTATTATTTAATTTTATAAAATAATTTTCTAATAATAGAATTATACAATATCTAATACAAACTTATAGATACTAAAATACAACCAATTTGGGTTCAGGTCGACCCTAAACTCAAATTGAATAACCTTTGTGAAACTAATTCATTATCTTGAATTATATTGAATATTTTTTTTGAGAATATTTTGAAAGATTAAAATGTTCTCAAATAAGAGAACTTTATTTTAAATATAAATACTCTTAAAAAAAATTGAATGTTCTTTGAGAACCATGAGAACATCGAATTTTAAACACTAGTTATAAGTAGATAATATAGGTAAATCCATCTTTCAGACATTCCAAGATAGACTTAGACTGCTATTTACATGTTTGCAGTTTTTTTTTAGTTAATCATGATTAAAGCTTGTTTGAATTTCCAAAGTCTTGTAGTTAATATAGATCGTAGAATAAACGCAAAAGATAAAATTATAGACGTTATCCGTTGGATATCTATTAAATTTAATATAAAAAGAATAACAGAACAAACTCTATAAAATTAAAAGTCGCCATACAAAATATTAAGTTAAACGTTAGAATATTAATTTGAATGCATTTGTGACTTCTTGAATTTCATTTATCATAGTATTAGTGCAACTTTATATATATTGTTTTATATTTAAAAGTTTATTATTGAATTATAAATTTCTATTAAAAAAAAATTGAACGTAATTTACTACAATTTAATTTATTTCTAGTCGAATGCATTTACTTAGGCACAGCATTTTTAATAAATTAAAAAATGTTTAACTATTGTATATTAATATAATTATTCGAGAACTGGAGGGCCAGCTTTGCAATTTTCATTTTGTGCATCACAATCTTGACCCGAGAAACTCCTATCACCACCGTTAAACTTATTGAAACATAAATTATGCTAATATTTAAGGAAAAACAAATAGAATAAGAGAAAAAAAAAATTAGATTATTTTTATTGTTATTTTATAAAGTTATTAAGATTATAATAAATCAAAACAACATACTTGAACGTCGCATTGACGAGTGTGAGCAGCTCCAATATTGACAAATGAATCTCCATTAACTACAAATGGACGTTCCCCGCCAACATTTTGTATCTTTGGCATTGCAACTCCGCCAACAGGATTTGTTTCTGCAACATTTTGATCTTGAGGATCAGCAGGATCAGTTCCTTTAGGATTATCTCCTTTAGGATCATCTTTTTTAGGCTTCTTTTTTTTATCATCTTTTTTAGGTTTCTTTTTTTTATCATCTTTTTTAGGTTTCTTTTTTTTATCATCTTTTTTAGGTTTCTTTTTTTTAGGATCATCTTTAGGATCATCTCCTTTAGGATTATCACCTTTAGGATTATCACCTTTAGGATTATTTCCTTTAGCGCCAGTTGGATCTTGGGCTTGCGTTAACCCATCAAGCTCACTGTGTCTTGGTGCTCTATTATAATAATATAATAAATAAATTATTATGACAATGTAATATTTATTCAATGAGATAGATATAGTAAGAAACATACTTGTCACAAAGTTCGGATGGTTGACCAGCATTAGGAGTATTGCGTTCAAGTTGTCGATATGTTTTGGCAACTTCAATAAGTTGTTGTTGTTTTGCCGTGCCTTCGAATAATAAATAACAAAATTTAATAAATAATAAAAATTAATAATAAAAAAAAAAAAATTAAAAATAATATTTTACCTTTAATGCCATTTCTTTCAGAAAGATCAATAATTTCATCAGCACGATCTTGTTGATCACATGCGGGAGCTTTAGCTAAAAGTGCCCTAACCATAGCGCCCGATAAATTTCCAGCCTCGGCCTCATTTTCAGTACCTTGAGCGAGATCTTTAACATCTTGGAAAGTTTTATCAGCTGCGGGAGTATGTTCTTGACCGAATCGTCTTTTTTCTAAACCCATTGGTGCGGCATTGACAGTTAATGAAAGAGCCATAAAGGCTGAAATAACAACTAAAAGCTTCATGTTTGATGAATTTGTTTTTTTAAAAAAGAATAAAGAATGTAAAAAGTTTGTTTTTTTTATTTGAGACCAGCCCAATGATGATAAAATGACAAGCAAAAAGTTTAATTGATAAAAAGAACCAGTTCAATTGAACCAAATGTTGAAATGATAAGAGAACTTATGGATTGAAAACTATAGCGAAGGGGGAGTATTTATATTTTATTTCTCGATAATCTAAAGATTTATTGACTAAGACAAAATTGGAAATTATACTTCCTGAAACAATTAATTACGGATTAAATGGTTAATTTCCTAAAATGGATTAAATTTAATTATTGGTCCATTTAGACATGGGTCGATCAGACTAATTATCAAAAAAATTTTTTTTACCAATTAAATATAAGTGATCTGTTAGGATAGTTAATAAATGTCATTCTTATAAAATTAGTTTATAATTGTCAAGTTTCAAATAATATACGTATTTAACATTTCCGTAACTATTCTAACAAGTTTTTTTTTTTTTATCTTAAAGAACGAAAAATTCATTTTATTATCCGAGTATTCAAACTTCTATCAAACTAATGTATAGAAAAATACTATGTTTCATGTTTATGTCACATAAAATTACTTTGAATGGTCGTATACAAGGTTATAGACAAAGACATTTAGAAAAAGATACGTAGCGCTACTTCATGTATAAAGTTTGGTAGTGAATCCATGATCTACCGTAGTCATTTAGATGATCTCGGTCTTTTACATTCTAGAAATTTTAAAAATCTAATAGGTTCCGCATGTAAGAACGTGAATATCATTAGCACAAGGAGCTCGTACGTACGTATTAGCTCACTATAATTGTTTTACCAAGAGCTCATTAAACTGACATCACATAATGTGACAATTTACAAATGATATATGCTAAAATTAATAATATGCTAAATTGTCACCATAGGTGATGTTGAATAACGAAGTGATCGCCATCGTAGCACAGGTTCAGCATCTAGTAGATCTACTACTATACTAGCGTGGAGAATCTTGTATATGCCTATTTATGGTAGCCCGACATTTATTACTAATTGTTTCATAATTGGCCATCTCAATAATTTCAATTTATTGTAATAGCTTGTTACCTAATTTGGGTTTAAAAAAATTATGACATATATGTATATGATCTTTTATTTAATTATTAATGATTGGAATCGTTTAACCGTTTATAGGGGGAATCTCAATATATGATCTACATACAACATAAATTACATTCTTGATATCTCTATAACTTACGAACCTTAATAGCATCAAAAAGATAACTCTAAACCTTGCCGAAGGTCCGTTTTAGCCGAAATCATTTCGTCAGAAAACTTCAAGTTGACGAAACGATGAGCGACGAAATTCATGACGAATGACAAAACCTATGACGAATAACAAAACCTATGACGAATAATAAATTTATATTTAATATATAGCATTTGGACGTAATATACATAAAAACATAAAAAATACGATTTTTCTCATAGGATTCATTGAAACTTAATGTCTGTAAAACGACACATTTCTAGTCATTTCGGTATTACAAATCCGTTAGAAATATGAATTACTGTATTTATCAGTTGTTGCGTTCAAAAATGTATAATAGAAACTTCTAGAATAATCAATTATATATTAACTAGATTTTTTCTGAGTTATATCAAAGCCCGCATTCTGTTGCACAAAAATATGTTTTCTTTTAGTGACGCTCATATAACGATAAACTTTTGGTATGCCGAAATTGCCCGATGATCTGCATTAATCACCTGGATATATCCGACAGGTACGAGGAAGAAAACTATCGGCAATAAAAATATTATTAGTTTCAGATTAATTTTTATGGGGTTAACTTTTTTTATAACGAACTGACGATTTTATAGAAAAAAGTTCGTTGTCAAACAATCGTTGCGTGTTCATATGTGCCGACGAAACTTATGAAATAACTGCAATTTTGAAAAAAAATTAAAATTCAAAATATCGAGAGGTCATTATAAAGAAACTCATTGAAAGAGAGGGCAACTGTATTCTTAAATTTTATTGGTCGAATTAATTTCGTCAAACGTCAAAATTTCGTTGACGAAACCATTTCGTCATCGCGAAATAATTTCGTCACCCATCATTACCCAATTACGTTGATCATTAACCAGAATAATTTTTAATGCTGGCTAATTTAAATGGTTAACACGGTTAAGCGGTATACAATTAGAAGATTTTAGACCGGTTCCGATCTAAAAAAAAAAATAAATCAAAAAAATACAAGTAAAAACATATAACAAATAACAATAATAAAACAAAATAAAGCATTGTTTAAGGAAGTTTATCAATCAATGGTTTTTCAAACGCGAAAATTTAAAATTATCAATCAATGGTTTATCAAACACGAAAGTTTAAAATGGTGTATCAAACGCAAAAATTTGTTAATTCAAATTATCAAATTACTGTGATTATCATATGATTATGTGTAACTCTTCAAAATTCCCATTTTCTCGTGACCGCATAGTTGACCAATAAATTACAGCTGTTTTCGAAAAGAATATTATGGGAAATTCAAAGATTTTCAAGATTTCCAACAATTTGCGATAACGATATAGTGAGGAATTTCGGAGATTCTAAATAATCTATAAATCATATATTCAAATATTGATATTTATTTTGAAATCTATAAAACAATTAGAATCGGAAAACTTTCTAATTTCCCGCGATTTTACATGATATCGTGATCTGCAGAGGTCATACTTTTTGCAAACCGTAATGGCTTGTGACAGCGAAATATTTTCACTAATTTCCTGATAGGTATAGTTTCTTTTGCTATACAAAATGTACTGAATCAAGTTAAAAATAATTTTAATAATATTATTTCAAAAATTTTCCAAAATGAATCTTAGATGTATAGCGAAAGCTTATAATGGCACATAATATTTCTTTGATATGATAGTTATTCTAAAAAAGTAAAAAATTTTTTATGCTTAATAAATGTTTATATTAATGTACGAAGTATTGAGTTTACTAATTCCCCCCCACACTTCTGATTGGTTCTACTAATTATTCACATATCGGAGTGTCTATGCTATTAATCAATTTTATGGTACTCCGATAGTGAAGTGTGGGGGGAAATTAGTAAACTCCGAAGGAGTGTGGTTTGATAAAAAATGAAAAGCTATAATCAATCCCTAACGAATACCACAAATACCTGATAAACACAAAACTTTTTAATTGTAATAATATGAATGTCATAAAGATTACGTATTATTATTATTATTATTATCAGATAGATTATTATTATTATTATCAGATAGATTATTATTATTATCAGATAGATTATTATTATTATCAGATAGATTATTATTATTATTATCAGATAGATTATTATTATTATTAGATAGATATGTTGTATTGATACCCATAAAAAATCTGAAACTAATGAAGATCATTAGTGACCCTGCCTATGTTTGATTTAAT